TTCCGGTTTTTTTTTTTTTTTTTTTTTTTTTTTTTTTTTTTTTTTTGGTACCGGGGATCGAACTCAGGACCTTGTGCTTGGGAGGCAGATGGCGGAACCACTGAGCTAAAGCCCTGGCCCTCCCACCTGTTTTGTGAGGGAAGGCCATGGCTATGTGACACAGAGAGGTTCATGTCCTTTTGGGCTGTACATACACCTCAAGGAGGGATGAGGGGCCATGTTTTCTCATTTGTACAATAAGGGCCACAAGACCAGGTAAATGTCTCTCCCTGTGGGGAAGGATGAAAGCTGGGCATTAGTACTTCTGGGCGGAGGCACTTTTCCAATAGAAAAATCCTCCATTTGCTGGAGTTGTTTCTCCAAAGAGAAAGCTGCTTTTGAAGACTGAGGAGAATCATTTACAATTGAAGGACGAACTTGAGGAATATAAATGAGACAGTCTTCATATCATTCTTTTCAGTTAGACCTCTTGATTTGGGGATTTGTTTTTTCTGCTGATGATCTAAATTTGATTCCAGAAAGTGTTAATAAGTGATTATGGCTTAATTATTTGTTGTACGAGACCTACATGGAAAGATAAAATGAGACTCCTCCACTTGCTCATTTTCCCTCTGCGTCTGCATTGCCCATTTGGGTGTTTGGGTTGGGCTCCAACACTTTTCCAGTTCCACTTGAGATAATAGTAAAGATGTTACACTCCTCCCTTGGCCACTTGTCTGTCTCATCCGACTCCTTTCTCCCTGGTTCTGGGGCTTTCCGTGTGCCCAGGTGAAAACCTCTCAGTTCCCATCTCTGGTGCATGTTGCCACGCAGAGTAGTCAGGGCGCTGAGGTGCAGCCTGATGTTTCTGACAAGGCTTTTGCTCCCATACCTAGGGATGCTCTTTTCCTGCTTTCTTCTGGCATGGAGTAAACAGGCCAGAGAATCAGCCATCTGCGGCCAGACAACAACATGCTGGGCATGCGCCTGCCCAGGGCTGCCTCCCTTGGGGTCTACTGCATATGAGATAACTGCCCTCCGATGTTCAGGCTGCCGTGAATTGGGCTTTCTGTTGCCTGCAGCAAGCCGCAATCCTGGCAGCCCGTCTGGGGGCTGGGGGTGTTTGCACGGAGTCCGTGCCATCGTCCTAGCAGGAGATGGGCAGGAATGG